AAATAAAAAATCGCCTCAGATTACCACCAATTACACTTAATAATGTGCTGCTCCAGCCCATGTGCTGATCAGATGGAGAGCTGCGATTGTCTGCGGACACCAGAAAGATTCATCAATACAAACTGACAGCAGCAACACTAACTTTTAACTGTGTGTCACTTTGGTTTGATCTGTACTTTAAGAATTATTTCACACTAACTCAGCCTCAAGTGTTTCTGTAGAAAAGGGATAATCTCTCTGTGTTTGAAGTTGGAATTCAGTGCCAACAGCACCATCTCAAAAGTGAGACAGAGGAACAAGGAAAGATCTACACTACATTTGTTTTACAAGCAGTACAAGAAATTGGTATCTACAAGTTTTGTTATATTTGCATTAAATAGAATAAATGTATAGGGCACTTGTAATGTATCTGTAATGCTGAAAAAATGCCATTACAAGTTTCTTTTATTTACACCATCACATCAATAATATGTACTTTATCATTTTTTGCAGGGGTTCATATTAAATTAGATGATATTTAAACCAGATGATCTTCCTGACATTGCCCTTTTACTTTACGCAGGCTCGGATCTGACCTTTCACAGTCATTTGTGGTTTATATTTTTAAGAGTGTGTGATATTTATTCAAATCTGTTTTTATGCACATGCCATTGTCCAGACATTTACTAGCATTTGTGTACCTTTAGAGGATTATTACAGTAATGTTATTGGAGCAGTTTAACACAGTCTTAACATTGGGATAAAGGCCACGTTTCCGAGGGTTAAGTCCTGTTAGATTGGAGACATGTGTCTGCAAAGCTTTATTAGTCAGTTATTAGTCACTGAGGTCAGGGGAGAGTTTTTAGCCAAGGCACAACATTGAACTTGAACATGACTCTCATCATCAGCCCCTCAGGCGGCTCCAATAGGTATACCATTACACTGCAACCTAACTGGCCACCATCCCCACAGGGAAAGTCAGCCAGCATGCAAATCAATGTAATCACCGTTACAGCGACCACAACCAAACATCCAGCCGCGTTCTAATTAACTGAATTATCGGGTCTGCGCTGGTTCATTGTTTCTGTCTATTGTCTTTTTCTGGGCCGCCATGGTCGCTATAGCAGCATTAATCAGAGGGAGGAAAAGGACTCAAGTGCTCTTTCCACCCGCGGTCATGATGCGTCTGAGTTTTATGGTTGTGCACGTTGCGTTCCTGAAGGATTTCAACAAGAAGAAAGTCTATGACAAATGGATGACATCAGAGGCAGCATATTGCAGGGTGATTGGAACCTCGTTTTCCGTCACGACCAGAGCCAAAAACTAATCATACATGTCCAAAAACAACTTCTCAGATATCTTCGTTTATTCCTTTATAATTACACTCTTGTTTGAGGAATTAGCTTTGCGTTCATATGAAATAGAGCATACTAAGTGTCAAACCACCCATTTAATCACTACATCTCTGGAGCTTCATTAGGAATGTTCTTTCCTTTAGCTTTTAACAGGTTTATGATATAGCCAACGCGGAACCCAGCCAGTCTAAGATCCAAACTAGGGCTGTGCAATTAATCTAATTTTAATCAAGACCGATTCAGTCATATCTAATTGTCAATAATGTGCGTGGGTCTTTTTAATTGAGTGGTCCAGCCAAATCTCAGTAAAAGTATGTGCTCTGTAGCTCAGACTTGGGAGGGAATTTGTGGTTTAACACAAAAAATGTCAGTTATTAGAAGGCTCTATGGTTTATGTTAAAGGAAATAGTATTGAAAGACATATTTAGTGTTTTTACTTTTTTACAGTAATACAGAATATGAATGTGAATAAAAAAAATGAGAACAGCAGAATTGAGATGCAGAATGCATAATGGTGAAGGTTGGTGCATGAAAGGGCATCTATCTTAAAAAAAAAAAAAAAAAAAGAAAATCAGCAAACAATGTAAAATGTGTTATCCAAACCACTGTAAGTAAATTATGATGAAAAATTTTTTTGTCTTTGTGATGTATTTCTTAAGATACCTGATTTGAGCCATAGTTATCACCTCTCACATTTGCTTTTTGAGTTTAAGTGTCCACTGGTGCCTGTGACAGCTGTTGTCTGAGGATGAGCCAGCACATCTGTATTGGGTCAGCGCTGGCCTGTGGCTCTGCTCCGCTCTGCCTGCTCTCATGGCCCTACAGTGGCATCCTAAATTGTGAATGAATACTTGCATCTGTGAATGTAATGCCACCCTGATCGCTCTCAACCACTTACTGTAAGTGGACACAGTAATGCACTTGTAAACTAAGGGCCTACAAAATAACAAATCTTAAGCATAATGTTTGCTTTTTAATTAAAGGTCCTATATTACACAACACTGCCTCTTGTATTTTGTTTCATTCATACTTGTTTATGTAGTCCTTTATTATTAGTCTATCTACATCTCCAAACTTCAAAATGCTCTGTTCCACCTTGTGATGTCATGTAGTGGTAGTTTTCCAGTTAACAGCTCCCTTTTATCTTTAGTTCAGTAGATTGCCAATTCCAGGGCTGAAATCATCCAAATGATTCTAATGAAGGTGTATGGAGTTTAAAAACACAATAAAGCACTTCCTGTATTACCACATGACATCAAAAGGTGGAGTGTTTTCTGTTTAAGAGAAGAACTATGAATGAATGAAACAAAACACAAATCCAGGTTTTTTTTTGATGACGAAATAACATTATAACATCGAACAGAAAATAGCGTAATATGGGCCCTTTAAAATGAACATAAAACCTTGCACTCCTTACAATTATCCACACTTTATATCAGCCTGGCCGTCTCATGTTACTTTTGTCACTATTTCTGTAGGCCTTACATTTCCCCTCTGTCCCCCTTGTCTTGGCCTATGTCTTGATCAAACTCGGCTCTAACACACAATGAAAAGTTCAACTCTGAATTACTGTGGCACACATTCAATATAAACTGAATTTACTTTTGGGTCCCAGCCAAGCCACCATATGTTATAGAGGCCGTTACCCTGCGCAGAGCATGACTGATTCTGTTAATGTTGCAAAGCCCTAAACCACTCAAGCACAAATTGTGTAAGGCAAAAGGATCAAGATCTCTAACACTCATTAAGCACACTCTAATAACACAATAATAATCAATAAAAGCAGGTTAAAGATGATTAATGAATTGTAGATGTTACAGCTTTGTAGAGTTGTATTTGTTTTTGTGGCAATAGAGTGGCGGCCAAGTGAATATTTCAGTGTCAGAAAGTTGTGCTGAGAAACAATGCCTGTATTATTGCTATGTTGTAGAGGCGTGTAATCACTGTCCTGGGATTGACTTGTGCTTTTCCCATTTACAATGTGTTTTTTTTCCTGGCAATCATCCATCTTGTATTCTGAAAAAGAGCAGTGACCATTGTCTTATTATTAGGGAAACATTTACCTGAGTGTTTCAGAGAAAGACCAGGTGCATGATGTCACTCAGCGACACACTGTGTTTCTAAACATTTTATGGTGCTACTTTATTTGTTTTGTTGGTTTTCTGCATTTGGACTGTGAAGGCCAAACTGACACTCATCACACATGACATCATTTTAAACCAGAGAGACCACTTACATGGACTTTAGCTGGGTCTACACCATCCAAGTTTATGTCAGAGTAAATATAACAAGTCAAAGAAGCTAGAATTAAAAATCCAATTTCATAGGATTTCATGATTATTGCAAATATTGATACAAAAAGTGAAAACCTTTAATCACTGTTCAAAATCAAATTTTCCTTTTGCTATGCAAATCCAAAAACACTTAATTTTGTCACTTGAACTGAGTTTACACTAAAATGAGATTGGCTCATCACTCAAGGCCAGCAATTTGAGAAACTAGACTAAAATCAAAACAGGGATTAATAGTAATGAACATTCATTTGGTCAACTTTGTATCTTTGTGGGACAAAGTTAAGTCAAACAAAGACAAGTCAAACTTACAACCTAAATGCAGTGTGACTATGTACTCATTACTGGTGCACTGGGCCCTGGCTGTCAGAATAGACCTCCTCAGAAGGACAAAACTAGGGCCACAGTTTGTGTTCTGTTATTTTAGATCAGAGCAGTCCAATACTGTGGAGCATAGAGCAGCCTAGAACAGCCTGGAACTGACCAATCATAGGGGCAGTGACCTCAAATGGTCAAATGGACAAAATCCTCACTGACTGAATGATGCAAAGGAGACTCACCACAGACTGTGGAGGCTCAACCTCCAAGACCACCTCTGTAGGTCAGAGCATACAGGACCTGTCTTCTGTTTATATAGACAGAGTCTGAGCCAGAGCTTTGGGTATCTGTGACAAACAAAACTAGCTTGCAGTTAGACAAATATGTCTTAAACACTAAACAGTACCTGTCCTGTGTCTCACTGGAAGCAGTCAGACAAATATTCATGTATGTATAATAATATTCATGTGTATTTGTGAGGCCTCCTGTTTATCACGTCCCAAGTCTGAGACAGTGAAAGATTAAACTATAGGCCCATAGTTATAGTTAAGTGTTTACTATTTATGATTATTATTATGATTATTCATCATCTTACCAAGTTCAGAAGTGGTTTAGCCTCCTCCACGTCTCTGTCCGCCAACTCAAACATCAGATTCTAAATTACACACATTTAGTTTGCCTGATTCATTTGGACATTAAAGTGTGTTAAGAGGTGTGTAACTCATTCACGCCTCACCATGCTCCAGCAGAACACTGGTCATCTGCTCAGTGGTGACCAAGGTAGAAAACAGGCCCACTCTATGCAGAAGAGATCCAGAACCACTGTAAACTGAGGAACAGACAATGTTATTTATATCATCACAACTACTTATGGTGCAAAGTATAAAAAAATGTAAGTTTGTTTTATAAGATGGCAAGAGCACTGCTATAAGGCAAGTCCAGATAGAGATGGAGAACAGTCATCATCATAATTATTAAAACTGTTCATATTCGTGATGACATTATATAATCTACATAGTTATTATGTACTAATATTTGTGTTGTCCCTCTGTCCCAGTCAGTGGCTCCTACTGCTCAGAGAAGAGTGGAGGGGATGACAGGACTCAGTCACTGTTCCCCCAGAGCCTCCAGTGCGACCGGCCTGAGCTGCTGCTGCCCGACACCACGCACCAGGACTCCAGGTCAACTGCCACTTTTACCGCTCACACTATTCACATAAAGCTTTCTGATGGGTATAGTGTTATAAACAAAACAGGTTCATTATGGATTTCATTATCTTTGCTCTGAAATGCATGCAGTGCTATCTTTGCCTAGTATTATAAAACACAGCAAAGCAGAGGACAGTAGTTATGTTACTAACTTTCTGTTAGTTGTGGTTGCTGTAGGGCATATCAAACTGAATATCTCATCAGTTCCTCAGTGAATAGCTCCAAGACAGATATGTCTCAGTATTTTTTAACCAAACAGGAAGTGTAGTTCTGAAATCATGATGCGGAGGGTCTGGCCTGTACTTACAGTGAAGACACAGTGAGTGTCTGCTGGTCCCTCCCTGTGCTCACTGCAGAGACAAAGACGTGTCCTTCATGGGAGCGAGCAGAGAAAGGAGAGCTCTTCTCACATCACTCAGGGGCTTTGCACAAAATCCATAATGAGCCAACTGACAGCAATGATTATGTAGAAGATCACAGCAACGCATGGAGAAATATGACCAGGGGCTTCCATTCAGTGCAGCAAAGATTCCCACCATAATACACAGTATTGTAGACGGTGACCCCTTTATAAGCTGCAATTATGCCACCAAAACAGTTGACTCCCTGTTTATACCCACATTTAACCCTTCCTGTCATCAAAGCCTGTCAGGCACACAGCAGTGGCCTCTCAGTGTGTCCAGTCATTCTCCTGTACACCACCCTACATTTTTAGACTGGCCGCTATAGTGATAGATTATTTCCTGTTGCATTTTATCTGTTCAGATACTGTTTGATATCATATTATCATGATCAAATTAGCATTAGCAGCTGTGAGTTCATTCATAGCCTGTAACTGTAGTATTTAAGGGGTGAAAGGGAAAAGCAGAGGGGGGAGCGGCAGACCCTCTCTTGGTGGGAAGGACCTGCTGTCATATCTGTCATCAGGCTCAAACTAATGCTGCTCATATTGCTGTGTCTCTCTGCACAGATCGTCTTCAGACTTCTCCAGGACTTTGCCGGTGGGCTCTCCCAGTTTGTGCAGAACCAACGGGGTTCCCTCCCCTCTTTCTTACCAGATAAAACAAGAGATTTCAGTGGGCTACAACATGGGACCCAATGCATCACAGGCTGGATATCAAAACTTAAAAGAGGACATCATTTTAGGGACGACAAGGGACAAACTGACTGGAGTCCCACAGGTTAGCTGTAGTGCTAGTAGCATACGTACAGTAAATGCTGTTAGCATTGCCGTGTCAGCAGACGCATCACAACCCTTTAATAATGAAGATGGCTCCTCCCCGCTGGCTTTGTCCCCATCGGGCTCCCATCATTCAGCGCGGCGACTGGGTACTAACAGGCTGAAGAGGCACTGCCTGTCGCTGGCCTCGCAGTCCGCAGCAACAGCGTCTCCTGCAGCGGCCGCCACCGCCGTCGACGACCCCAACATCTGCTCCTCACAAATGTCCATGGTCTCCTGCAACGGCTTTCAGCTCTCGCCAAGTCCCAGCACGGGCTTCTCCTCCACATCTCCTCCCACTGCATCCTGCTCTCGCGACGCCCCGTACAAGCCCCCACATCAGCGAAGCCCCCAGCCCACTCCAGGACAGGACAGGTGCCAACTGTCATCCCCTGCCTCCTGTCTACTGTCCCTGTCCTCTTCCTCCTCTTCAGTGTCGTCAGTGGAGCTTGAGGGCCAGACTCTTTGTGAGGAGCAGAGCTCCATGCATCTGGGGCGGGGGGCAGCAGGGACAGAGGGGGGTGCAGATGGACTGGGGCTGCTCCTGAGTGGGTCGGTGTTGCCCGGGACATTACAGTCAGAGAGTGAGGCTCTTATGGAGGCTTCCCACAGGTCAGGGGCTGCTCTGAAGCAGGAACCACTGGATGATTTCACTCCCAGCGAAGACGAGCTCTTTCAGCACCACTATCATCAGCATCATGTAAATGGGAGAATTGGGCACCCCCCTCGTCCTGCCATGCCACCCCCTTACCACCTGCACCAGTACGTGGGGCCGAGCCCGGGGGGCCTACACCATCAGAGCCAACAAACTGCACCAGCCTCCTCCATGGGACATAAAGCAGCCCCCACAGCCCCACCTGGGTCCCATAGACAGGCAGAGCGCGAGGACTTAACCATTGGAGCTATTAGTGACAAACAGGTGTGTCGCTGGATCGACTGCAGCGCTGCCTATGACCAGCAGGAGGAGCTTGTCCGGCACATCGAGAAGGTGCACATCGATCAAAGAAAAGGAGAGGACTTCACCTGTTTCTGGGCCGGCTGCATCCGCCGCTACAAACCCTTCAACGCTCGCTATAAGCTGCTCATTCACATGAGGGTGCACTCTGGAGAGAAGCCCAACAAGTGCATGGTGAGTCATGAGCAGCACAGTACTTATGACACCAATCCATTCACACATATTCACCATATGTGAAACACGATGTCCAAATGAGGTCTGCACTAGTGAAAAGACTTTCACCAGAAAACCTTTCTTTGCCTTGCTGTTATGATAGTAGATTGCATTTTTTGTGGAAATTGCAGAGAAGATGTCTGCTCCCCTGCCATGCCAGTTTTAATACATTTGAGGCTGTATTTGTTACAGGTAAGTCTCCAGTTGCACAAGTCAACACACTAATCACTGTCAAGCTGTCACTCCCTTGCGTCCTCCACAAAGTGGAAAAAGCCCCCAGACCTCAAGAATGATTTAGTCCAAATACACAATTAGTCCACAATTTGTGTAGGGCCAAGCCATGTTTATTTTCATGAGCGCTGTGTTTTTGGAGAAGGGATTCAGATCATGAAAAGCCAACACATATGGTTAAAATAACTAAACAATGCCTACACTTGATCCTTTTAAATGGGAGCTTTAAATGTTTAGCTGTCCCACAAGTATTAAGTGAATTGGCTTCATATCCAAGCCAAACAGTCAGAGAAATGTAGTAGTCTGGATAGTTGAGCCACAGAGGGATAGCCAGCAACGTTTGCAAGTCTTGCTCAATTCACGGTTTTACCAAAAGCTTCTGTCAGAAACTGTGCTCCTCTGTTTCAGGATCTATTCCAAAACATATTTCTAAAAAAACGAGTCTGCAATTCATCTCCGCAACCTGCTTCATCTCAAATGCGCTTGCCCTTAAGAAGTAAATCATCTTTCACAAGTTTCTTTTGTAAATATATTAGACAAAATACCTTGAAGATGTACTTTTACATACAATACAATTTAATTGTAATGCCAAATCTAATAGAATAGTGGTCTGTTGGCTGGCCTCAGTGCTGTGCTCTGGTCATATTTAGTTGAATTGTGACGGCCAAAAACACTGGTGAATGTTTACCTCTTCTCTGCTTGGTTTACTGTAGGTGCATGAATGAGTTATTGTTTCATATTTGTGTTTTTTGGAGATGTTTACCATATGTGAGTTTTGAACAATTTGGGCTCAGTGTGGACGCACCGCTGCACTCTGTGAATGAGAGGCCCTGTACAATTCGGCTCCAGGCGCTGAACTTCCCTCATCCTGATTTTAGACACACACAGACACACAATAATAGCTATTTTGTTTCCAGTGAGGCTAACACAGAAGGTATTGATCTGTTATATTGTATGGTAGGTTGCACAGTTCCACATCCGACAGAATGTAAACAAAAAAGTGAAAGGTTTTCGGGCTTGGGTCAACACTTGTAATCATCAGGGATGACTGTATGTTGATATGGGAATCCAAAGATAAACTTGGAAATCCAGAGAAAATATACTCAATGTGTCCTCCTATTTGTACTGACTAATGTTTGTGCCCATCAGATTTTATTATATTTTTACTTAACAGTTCTTTTAGAAAAGAGGGAGGGTAGTTGTGATGTAATTAGGAACTATTCAGTATTGACTGAAAATCTCAAGATTTATTCCTTTGAACATGGTATATAGCAATTTCTTTATTTATGAGTTTTTAAAGATTTTTTTAAGCTTGTGCTTTATTGGACAGGACAGTATCGTGTGAAAAGGTGGTGAAGTGTGGGGAGGACAAATAAATAATGTAAACCTAAGGTTTACACACCCTTTCTTTTTTGGAAGTTTTTGATGTGTGTTATGGCATAACACATGCACATTTTGCAATAGAAATCCAACAGCGTCCAAGAATGTAAGTAATTCTTATGGAGGAAACCAATGAGACAGAACCACAGAATGACCAGGACTAATCCTTTATTTTGGTTCTAGCAGCAGATTCCTCCGGTCGCTCCTAAGCACAACTCCTCTCGTGTCCAAACATAACATATCTCTCCTCTGTCCCTTGCCTTCTCTCTGTGTTTATATCCGATACTTTATATCTTTTTCATACAGCTGCATTGAATTTGCTCCACGCTGCTTCTTGGCAGGAATAAGTCATTATCACAACAAAGAAGTCGTAGTCGGAGCTCCACATGCGCCTGTCACTGCCTAATATTTTAAGAAATACCTCACTTTAAAAAGGCACTTTGTTAAACATGTGAGCATCTTGGTTAGAAGTTATTTATATGGTTGTTGGTTCCTTTTCTAATTAAAATGTGCCTGAGGATGTTGTGTCGATCAGGCGAACGCTGAGGGACACAGGCAAAAAGGAAACAACTTAATCTCACTGCAATATCCTGTTGTGTTTCATGCTTAATTCACTTGTTGTTTTAGTTTATTACATTTTTGCTGGTGTCTGCTTAAATATTAAAAATATATCCAGTGAGTGTATCCCTGACATGGTCCCAGACTTTGATATTATTCTGTTTTCTCAGAGGTCGCTCCAGTGGATTTGATGTGTCTGTAGGCTGTGAGCGCCCAAGGTCAGAACATCTCATGTAGTCTGTGCGCGGAGAGGTTTACATGACTCAGGCCGCTGTGCGTCGCTTTATTGGCTTTTTGTTAAATCACTTATTTTTGGCAACAGCTCCAAGTTCACATTATAGCGAATAGAAAGTGATTTGGAAGTTATAGTGCACTGGAGATAACATTCATATATTAAACTATAAACTAACTATATAAGTCGACACATTTTGTCACATTTATACTTAATTCTTTTTACATGACACATTTACTTACATATCTCAAATGCTGATGTAGGATTAACAGATTTATAGGTTATAATATATTTGTTTGCCTAATATAAAAATAAAAGTCATAATAACAAACTGCCTCATCTTTGGTGAAGAATTTTAAAATAAGACAGGATCAGTGTATTCACGGGCCCTATCCAAACTCTCTCAACAGACAGACACCCAAAGACCCACCATCTCCGACACTCAATCAAAGCACTTGTTGAAGGAAAGTTGGATGACTACTCTTTCTGGAAAAAAGGTGGATTATGGAATTTCCTCCTATGTCAGTGTGAAACCAGCAAACATATATATTTAGATTTACTAGACTGCTTTTTGGAAGAGAGTGCCGACATCCTTTAGCTGCAGACGGCGAGACTTAGTGAGTCAAAAACACTGCATGTAAATGGAGTCTTTTGTGAGAAATCAGCACAGACACGGAGGAGATGAAACAGGGAGTGCCATTAGCTAATTAAAAGTGAGGTAGGGCACATGACCCGAGTTTTCCTCTGAATGCGCCTGAAACTGGAGCTGTCTGGGCTCTGTGCGGCCGCCGACTGACGTTGATATTAATGTGTTCGTACCTGCGCCAGCCTCCAGCCCTGAAGCCTGTCTAAAGCACTTAAAAACCACAGACAGAGAGACCATCAATTAACACACAAAAAACAGTTTAAAGTTAATTTGATACTACTTGTTACACTGAGGCCTGCAATGATTTTTATTTATTTATTTTTTTTCCGAACAAGTCACAATATGTGCTATGTGAAAAAAAAAAAAAAAAGTTGCTTCTTCCAGTAGCAGAAATATACATAAGTTGTCAAATTGTAGTACCCGACAGAACATTTTAGTACTTAAAAATGGCTTGGTCACAGCACTTCTTTAAGGCTTTGTGTTGGCGTCAGCATTGCGATATTAATGACCCCTGGCCCTGACCATTTGCTGAATGTCTCTTCCCGCTCTTAAACCCCTTTTCCCAATGTCTGTCCAAGACAATACAAGGATGAAAAACAGCAATCATTTTTAGGATTTTTTACAGCTTCGAATGTTGTCCAAATCAATCTATCACTGAAACTAAGTTGATCCTATAGTAAGTCTGATATCTTTACAAGCCTCATAATCTTCTGTCTTTCCCAGGTCTTTTTGCAGCAGCGGTGCCATGGTCATGCTATCGCTAACACAATGCTAACCATATGTGATATTTGTATGATGAAACTGCTGTTGGACGGGCCCTGCAGCTGTTGTTTTGGCATCCAAATGAAAGCTCTGGATGGATGGGTCTTGCTTGTTTTCCTTGTTGAGCAGATCAGGCCAACTCCTTGTCAGCCTGTAAAAGTTTTCCAGTCAATCTTTTGTACTAATGTATTGCAGTGGATCTGCTGCCATTAAACCATCCCAAATCTCATCTGTTCACTCTCTCCCACGCAACATTTAGTCATCAAACATTACAACCAAGGATTACTCTGACCAAATTAAAATAGATAATAAATGAGAAGCACATGAAGAACACAGACAAGTATCGTACTGTTGGTTAGTATCCATTATTTCCCTACATCACCAAAGTAAACTCAGAAACAAATGTATTTTCTGACGTCTTGTTGTTGAATTTGTGGGATATCATCTTGCAATATTTCCAAATAAAGAACTAATTTCAGAAATACGTCCCTAGTACAGATGAGCATAGTACAATAGGCAATCTGGTGTGATTGTAAAAAGTAAAAAAATATTTAAACATTTTTATAACCAAACTTTGCAGGGCTAATTTTTCAAAAATAACAACAATTGCATTTTATAGGGCTAAATATAACATTTCAACAATATCACAGCAGAACCCACCACAAGCTCAAATGCCTGACTTACTTTTTGCCTGATAAGCAGGTATCAAAGCAGCAGGGTTTTCTACATGAGATACACTCTAACTTAATTTGTCAGGAATGCTGTATTTTGAGTTTCCCCATTTCCCTTACGTTTAATCACGCTCTGCTATCGGAAACCTGACGACCCAGGGCTGCGGCTCTTATACATTGCACAGAGATTGTGTCATTATTGTTTCCCATCCAAAACCTTAATCAGTTTAACCTTTTCTACGGAGGCAGATCCATTTACAAATACGTAAAGAAAGGGGTCTCCCTTCTACATGTGTAGGGGCAAAGATGCGGTTGTGCTCTGGAGCCAGATTAACAGAAGAAGGATGGTCAGGAGGGTTAGACATTCTTCAATTTATGCACCATAAACTCTAAGTTATTAATAGACTCTGGATCTGGAAAAGTGAAGATCCTTACACTAATCCATCCAAGCTGCATGGCTGAAATACATTGTATATCATAA